GAGCTGAATGACGACAAGGAGAAGGAGAAGCCGATCATATGTAAACGCCCATGGAATCATTTGCAAGAAGGGGATCTGTAGGGAGTACGCGAAGCAGGTTCGCGATGCGGAGAGGGCACAGAAGGATACAAGTTCGAATAACAAGAAGGCTAAGGGCAGAGGCAGAGGCAAGGGGTATGGCAGAGGCGGCGGAGAAGGAGGGGAGGCACCGATCGTGGAGGAGATCGTGGAGGAGCTCCTAACAATGCTTTCCGAGGTCGCGGCGCACCCGTGAAGTCGACCTGGCGAAGCGCTCCTAGGGCCATCGTATCCGCCGCCGCTATTGAGCGCCGGGAAAGCAACGAAGCGGAATCTGTCGCAGCTGAAACTCCGAATGCATGGGGCAACACGTCAAATGCCTCGTGGAATGTGGGCGAAGATGTGGCTGAGGAGGAGGCGGAGCCTACGGGCAATGACGCGCCTGAGCCGTCTGATGACGGTTGGGGCAAGTCTGTAGCTAGCTTTGATCCTTGGCAGGCTGAGCCCCCGCCCCAGTCCCAGCAAAGGCCGAAACTTCAGACCCAACAGAGATCCAGTCCCAGCAGAAGCCTCAGTCTCAGCGCAATCCAGTCTCAGTGGAAGCCTCAATCTCAGGCGCAATCCCAGTCCCAGTGGAAGCCTCAATCTCAGGCGCAACCCCAGTCTCAGTGGAGGTCCCAGCAGAAGCCCCAGCCTCAGCAGAAGTTCCAACCCCAGCAGAAAACCCAGCCGAACACCAACGCCAGTAACACCTGGACCAATCGGAGGGCTCCCACTTCCTGGGCAGATCAGGTGGACGCACATAGCGCTGCTGGATACCCTGAGGATGATGGGTATTCTACCGTTGGTAGCAAGCGTGGTGGGCGGGCCCAGGCGAAGGCCCCCAAGAGTTCTACCAGTGGGTGGGCACTGTCGACGAGCAACCCTGGTGAGCGTGTTGAGCGAATAGAATTGCAGGGTCGTGCCGCCTCTGTATCTTCTTTGTATTTTTACCCGAACCTCCATTCCTGTCATTCATTGGGCGATATGTACCATACCCTGATCGATTTTCATACCTATGTACTGCAGAATCACTTTTCGTCTTACCGACTATATCCAATCAACGCCTGCGATCATTGTCACATAATTGTATTGAATACATACTTTGTGATTGTTTTGTGAAATGCGTGTTGTTGTACTTTCGCAACCTTGCTTTATGGTGACGCCGGCGCTTATTCAATAACGAGTCTTGCAGCATGACATTCTTGCTAGAGAAGTTCAGGCAGTTGCAAAGGTTCAAAAACCATTTCAAGCAGTTCTCAATCTCCTAAGACTGAGAATTCTGCTAGAAAACGACGAACATCCTCATAAAAACGGTACTTACACTCAAGTTGCCACGGCAGGAATGTGAACAAAACTGTGGCCACATGACTGTTAGGATAGATTGATCAAAACTGACTACATAAAATACCATATCACCAATGGTCCAATCGCAGTGGTTCGGAACTCTGACGTATATTTGTAATCTGTTGGAACGCCCGAAAAATGAAAATGTACCGTCAATTATCGCGAAATGTTCAACTCGTTAGCAAAAAAATATGGCTATATGAATGATTTAAAAAATAAGAAATAAATTTCACACCAAGAATTATATGATGCATTTGAGATGCTTATAGCGACGCTTAAAACAGTGAAGAGTCTCAAGCTTGTTCAGGACTTGCCGCAGTTGTTTATGCGTGTGGATGATTCGCAGAATTATCGAGATAGTATGACCTTGCAAGCAAGGCGAAGTCCGAACCAAACAATGTATCAATGTATCACGTGATGTAAGTCTGAGCAAAGAGATTTGGTCGTTGTAAGCACCAGGCTTACAAAGTGAAAACTACTGGCGATATCTAGCGTGATTGAGGCTTGTAAGCATACTTCCACATAGTTTCCATCAACATCGCCCCAATGTTGACGACGTATGTGACCATCCAGACCGCAGTGACGATGCGGCAGATCATACTTTTAGAGGAAAAGCCAGTTATCAACATCGCTGGGGGTGAAATTCATGAGGGACAAGAGGGGGGCTTAAATGATGAAACAACTCACCAAATATGAAACAATGCAGGGACCAGGCAACGAAGGACATGGGGGCGACTATTGACAGCAGGTAGGACAGCACGAAGTAGCTGCCCGACTTAAGTTGCTGATCATATTTAGGTCAGTCGGCGCAATCGGCACGGCGAGAATGACCCCTACCTCCTGAGTCCAGTGCCGATCGGCATGTACCCAACGTATCATGCTCGAGCCAGATGTCAACAGCGCGATCATAGCGAGCATGAGCGATATAAATAGCAGACAGTGAGGAGCGGGTGATGTATAGTCAAAGTATGGCACAGGAGAGCCGGTAGTGACGAAAACACCACTTATAGCGAGGAGGACGCCTGCCTTTTTGAAAGTATGTCAGCGCCGGATTCAGCTCGCGCGGAGTGGGACAGCTTACTGTGGTGATAGTGCTGGCTAGGATAGAGCATAACCTAGTTCTAACGGTTTCGAATGCTTGCTCTGATTGAAGGGACTTCCAATGATCTTCGATATCTGGGCGTCCAAGCGCCAAAAACAGAGTACCCTCGTCGGGAGGGACGTGCGACGAAGGGCCTCGGGGAGGGGTTGTTCTTCAGCGAGTGCTCTCGAGTCAGCAGTCACATGTAACTTGAAAGGCAAGCGTAGTTCAGCGATACAGCAAGGATTCCCAAGTTTTGAAAGCGTACCTCAGTGGAATCGAGTGAAGCCATGGAGTCAAATGGGAGAGTGAAGATGGATTAATGCTCATACTGAGAACAGGGATATAATATCGTCTTTAACGCACCAGGGGGATTATCCTTACATCAGCGTGCAAAAAGCTTCACCGAGCACCGTGTTGTTAATTTTAGGGAAACCGGGAAAGCCGTTCGCACGCTGATCGCGCGAACCTTTGTTGAGCGCTAGCCTCAGACACACCTTGAACTTGACATCGTAAGAATTGAGCACGCCTATAGTAGTATCAAAGCCGTTCGCATGCTGATCGCACGAACCTTTGTTGAGCGCTAGCCTCGATCGTGTTGTTAGATACTACTATAGGCGTGCTCAATTCTTACGATGTCAAGTTCAAGGTGTGTCTGAGGCTAGCGCTCAACAAAGGTTCGCGCGATCAGCGTGCGAACGGCTTTCCCGGTTTCCCTAAAATTAACAACACGGTGCTCGGTGAAGCTTTTTGCACGCTGATGTAAGGATAATCCCCCTGGTGCGTTAAAGACGATATTATATCCCTGTTCTCAGTATGAGCATTAATCCATCTTCACTCTCCCATTTGACTCCATGGCTTCACTCGATTCCACTGAGGTACGCTTTCAAAACTTGGGAATCCTTGCTGTATCGCTGAACTACGCTTGCCTTTCAAGTTACATGTGACTGCTGACTCGAGAGCACTCGCTGAAGAACAACCCCTCCCCGAGGCCCTTCGTCGCACGTCCCTCCCGACGAGGGTACTCTGTTTTTTGGCGCTTGGACGCCCAGATATCGAAGATCATTGGAAGTCCCTTCAATCAGAGCAAGCATTCGAAACCGTTAGAACTAGGTTATGCTCTATCCTAGCCAGCACTATCACCACAGTAAGCTGTCCCACTCCGCGCGAGCTGAATCCGGCGCTGACATACTTTCAAAAAGGCAGGCGTCCTCCTCGCTATAAGTGGTGTTTTCGTCACTACCGGCTCTCCTGTGCCATACTTTGACTATACATCACCCGCTCCTCACTGTCTGCTATTTATATCGCTCATGCTCGCTATGATCGCGCTGTTGACATCTGGCTCGAGCATGATACGTTGGGTACATGCCGATCGGCACTGGACTCAGGAGGTAGGGGTCATTCTCGCCGTGCCGATTGCGCCGACTGACCTAAATATGATCAGCAACTTAAGTCGGGCAGCTACTTCGTGCTGTCCTACCTGCTGTCAATAGTCGCCCCCATGTCCTTCGTTGCCTGGTCCCTGCATTGTTTCATATTTGGTGAGTTGTTTCATCATTTAAGCCCCCTCTTGTCCCTCATGAATTTCACCCCCAGCGATGTTGATAACTGGCTTTTCCTCTAAAAGTATGATCTGCCGCATCGTCACTGCGGTCTGGATGGTCACATACGTCGTCAACATTGGGGCGATGTTGATGGAAACTATGTGGAAGTATGCTTACAAGCCTCAATCACGCTAGATATCGCCAGTAGTTTTCACTTTGTAAGCCTGGTGCTTACAACGACCAAATCTCTTTGCTCAGACTTACATCACGTGATACATTGATACATTGTTTGGTTCGGACTTCGCCTTGCTTGCAAGGTCATACTATCTCGATAATTCTGCGAATCATCCACACGCATAAACAACTGCGGCAAGTCCTGAACAAGCTTGAGACTCTTCACTGTTTTAAGCGTCGCTATAAGCATCTCAAATGCATCATATAATTCTTGGTGTGAAATTTATTTCTTATTTCTTAAATCATTCATATAGCCATATTTTTTTGCTAACGAGTTGAACATTTCGCGATAATTGACGGTACATTTTCATTTTTCGGGCGTTCCAACAGATTACAAATATACGTCAGAGTTCCGAACCACTGCGATTGGACCATTGGTGATATGGTATTTTATGTAGTCAGTTTTGATCAATCTATCCTAACAGTCATGTGGCCACAGTTTTGTTCACATTCCTGCCGTGGCAACTTGAGTGTAAGTACCGTTTTTATGAGGATGTTCGTCGTTTTCTAGCAGAATTCTCAGTCTTAGGAGATTGAGAACTGCTTGAAATGGTTTTTGAACCTTTGCAACTGCCTGAACTTCTCTAGCAAGAATGTCATGCTGCAAGACTCGTTATTGAATAAGCGCCGGCGTCACCATAAAGCAAGGTTGCGAAAGTACAACAACACGCATTTCACAAAACAATCACAAAGTATGTATTCAATACAATTATGTGACAATGATCGCAGGCGTTGATTGGATATAGTCGGTAAGACGAAACGTGATTCTGCAGTACATAGGTATGAAAATCGATCAGGGTATGGTACATATCGCCCAATGAATGACAGGAATGGAGGTTCGGGTAAAAATACAAAGAAAGATACAGAGGCGGCACGACCCTGCAATTCTATTCGCTCAACACGCTCACCAGGGTTGCTCGTCGACAGTGCCCCACCCACTGGTAGAACTCTTGGGGGCCTTCGCCTGGGCCCGCCCACCACGCTTGCTACCAACGGTAGAATACCCATCATCCTCAGGGTATCCAGCAGCGCTATGTGCGTCCACCTGATCTGCCCAGGAAGTGGGAGCCCTCCGATTGGTCCAGGTGTTACTGGCGTTGGTGTTCGGCTGGGTTTTCTGCTGGGGTTGGAACTTCTGCTGAGGCTGGGGCTTCTGCTGGGACCTCCACTGAGACTGGGGTTGCGCCTGAGATTGAGGCTTCCACTGGGACTGGGATTGCGCCTGAGATTGAGGCTTCCACTGAGACTGGGATTGCGCCTGAGACTGAGGCTTCTGCTGGGACTTGGATCTCTGTTGGTCTGAAGTTTCGGCCTTTGCTGGGACTGGGGCGGGGGCTCAGCCTGCCAAGGATCAAAGCTGGCTACAGACTTGCCCCAACCGTCATCAGACGGCTCAGGCGCGTCATTGCCCGTAGGCTCCGCCTCCTCCTCAGCCACATCTTCGCCCACACTCCACGAGGCATTTGACGTATTGCCCCATGCATTCGGAGTTTCAGCTGCGACAGATTCCGCTTCGTTGCTTTCCCGGCGCTCAATAGCGGCGGCGGATACGATGGCCCTAGGAGCGCTTCGCCAGGTCGACTTCACGGGTGCGCCGCGACCTCGGAAAGCATTGTTAGGAGCTCCTCCACGATCTCCTCCACGATCGGTGCCTCCCCCTCCTTCTCCGCCGCCTCTGCCATACCCCTTGCCTCTGCCTCTGCCCTTAGCCTTCTTGTTATTCGAACTTGTATCCTTCGATGCCCTCTCCGCATCGCGAACCTGCTTCGCGTACTCCCTGCAGATCCCCTTCTTGCAAATGATTCCATGGGCGTTGCATATGATCGGCTTCTCCTTCTCCTTGTCGTCATTCAGCTCTCTCCACTGCGCCTCAGCGTCCGCAGGAGTATCGTCCCAGGTAGCCCCATCGGCAATGGGATGATCCGACCAAACATGGGTACTCATGGGCTCATCCCATTTCCCGGGTGCAATCGAGTCCAGCTCAGCGAGATTGGGATCTATATCATCATGGACCGACAGCCCGTCTAGCGCTTGTTCCATGCTTTCCGAAATTTGGACTTGAACCTTGTATGGGTCGTCCTCAGGAGTGAGTACGATATCGGTGCTGGCATTAGAGGACCCTCCGTTAGAGCTCCAGCTAGCGACACTTGTGTTGTCGCGATCGAGGCTAGGCGCCGTCTCGATGCGAGGAGCGCCCCATGCGTTTGGTACTGCCGGAATTCCGGGAGGATGAGCAGGGTAGGACGTTCCAGCATCCCAAGCTTTTGGACCACTCAGACCGGGAGGGACGGTGGGAGATTGATTCGATAATGTTCTAGGTAAAGGAGAGGGGCCTCCGCTGGGGGGAGTGTTCATTCCAGAACCAGTGGGGGAGTCTGACCACCCGTTTGATCCAAGTCCTGAGGGCGTAGAAAGGCCGACCCCTTATCGTGAAACAAAGGAAGCGCTTAGCGTTGATGGTACTTCAGAAGGAAAAAGTGGACGACATACAAACATCAGATGCTTTCACTGCGATGGGTCCGCCGCCAACTGCGGGCTGCTTCTTGAGCCCAGGGATGGCCGGAGAGGAAGTAGCGATAGCAGCCTTCCATGCATTCCCAACTGGTGCTGTAAGTTTGGGGGCGCCTTTGCCCCACGCCCCTGCCCTCGCGATGGGAGCAGGTAGCTGTCTGTCGGTGGTCCATTGTTGGGAACCGACGACTGTAGCAAGGATATTGATAAATTAGACCAGAAATAGGGCAGGAGGCAAAAGAATCCCACGCTTACTTGGTGCAGGGGCAATCAGGGTCTCAGGGGGAGGGGGTTTTACAGCGCCCGGAAGGGGCCTGCACATGGGATGATTAGTCTGATCCTCAATCGGCACTTCACAAAAATGGGTTTCAGGATAAGGGAAAGTGATAAGACTGGAAGAATGAGACGGTACGTCAGGTTATGCAACTTACGCAGTTATGAGTTATGAAGAATGAGGACTTACTGATTGTTCGGCGACCACGTTGTAAACCAAGCGTCTTCGACATATATACGCTTCCAGCCTACAAGAGAAATCCGATATGGTATTAGCCACCTGATCATGATCCGTTCATAGAAGGTAATCAAGACTCAAAACCGATCAAGCTTATCGTCTAGGCGGCTGAATTTAAATGGATTAAACTGGACTCACCATTCTTCTGCACTTGTCTTCCAGTGCTATAAGTGCAATAAAAAACCTTCGTGACTTGATCCTGCTCTTGTTTGGATGGCTTCTTCAAGAACTCCCTCCAGCGATGCTCGCCGAGTAAGCGATCAAGCTGGGGGCACTCGCGAGCTATTTCGATGATAACCATGTCGCGTGCCTGATTGATGCGCCACAATGGGGAAGGTTAACCATATATACTGCACAGAGGACCCATACCACTACTTACACTGGGCTTATGGAAAAACGCGTAGAAGTATTTAGCGTCGATGCAGCACGCCACCCAACGCGCAAAATCTTGTCTATCCTTGGGCAACTCCATGTTGCAATGCCCGTCGAGGACGTACGGGTGAACGACAGTGAGATATCGAGGTTCATCGTCTCCAGGAGGAGGAGTAGGAATACGCTTTGGCATGGTGGAAAGATAGAGAAATGGTACGAAGGAAAATGGAGGAGATCGAGTTATTTAAACAAAAAAGGATGGGCATGCGGCTGACGTGCTGAATCTGCGTGGTAGTGGCGACTCTTAAGGATCCCCCTGAAGGAGTTCACCTGAATGCTTCCGTGTTGCTATGCCGTTTCACCAGTCCTGTATAAAGACAGATAAAAAGTTGGGGTTGTGGCACCCGACCCTGACGATAATAACAAAGATCGCGTTCCTATGTTCACATTAATTGTCAGATCTAGTTGATCCCTGCATATAATGAATATTCGAACCAAGGAAAGATTCTTGAAAGCTTCAGCTCAACAAAACTTCTTCAAGGTCGGCCGGCGTGAAGATATACAAAGAGTGCTTTATGAGATTGTAGACAGGAGTGGGTCCTTGAAGGTCCTTGAATATTCGATTGCTCATATCGACACATACCGTGAGAAAAAAGCACCGCTTTCGAATGACGTCATCATCGAATCCTCGAGGACGGTTGTTGCAATCGATGAGCTCGAATCCTGACCAGTGGACCACGTAGAGCACCACTTTTATCGTCTACGTCAAAGCTCTCAATCTCGCTTAGAGCAGGCGAGCGCAACTTGACCAGATTAATTGATGTTGTCGCGAAAGTCGAGATCGATCCAGACATTAATTGTATACGTACAAATACCCTAATTTAAGGCTAGTGCGGGTGACCGCAGCGGGTCTCGTGATGAAGCAGAGACGAATTTTGGGTTCAAAGATGACGGCAATAAGGTGGCTGTGACTAAACGTCACGTTTTAATTGCAAACGCCACCGAGCGGTTTTGAACATACACAGGTGACAGCGGCCAATAAGCCGCCACTGGCAGTGATATTGTTTCCCTCTTGCATTTGAGATGAAACAGGTGAAACCCACTGTTCTCAGTCTATCGAACCGAAACTCACCAACCTGAATGGCCTATTACCAGGAACCCGGGCAATCTTGCCAAGCCGAAGGTGTGTTTTACTATTTCGCGTTCTGCTCCTGCAGGATTTTAGGTCAAGTGCGTTTCAATTAATACATAATAAAGCTTGTGCACTTCAAACATGCCTTTCTGCACATACCTACTCTCCGGAGAGATGCGATGCACATCTTAAACAGCTCTATCAATGTTGCTCCAAGCTGTATCAGGACCGCGCAGAGAATAATGGCACAGAACATGTCAAAGGTTCCAACCAAGAAAGTATATCGACAGCGTGTCCAATGCCGGGGGTAGTTGAGCGTTGGCTCAAGAACCACCCATGATGATCGGCGATAACGTTCCTGCAAATTGAATACGCGCCCAGACATCCACTTCACACCAATAGGGCTCAAGTTGCCCATCGTTCGGATGTGCCTGTCCGCAGATGCAAGTGCTTTTGGACGGTCGATCCTTGGTTATGTTAGAAGCGTGTGAGGTCGACATATCAGGTGCTTCCTACTAGATGTTGGCTATGGTGGTTTTTATTGCACAGCTATACTGTTATTAGGCGCTCAAAGGCACGCATTACACTAAATCTACCACCATGGACTGAGGCTGTGCCACAGCTCGTCTCTTGCAGTTAGCGCCCACGAAGCCCGTCATATAAGCGTGTACCGGTGTAATTTCACCGTCTGCGGGTTTAGCGTTTAATAAAGGCTCTGCCTGCTGGTATCCATCGCATTGACTGAATTGCCTTTGCTAACAAAACACTCAGTCCAGACTCCATTATGACATCTTCCACCGATTCAGATGCAAACTCCACATTATCCACTGAAACTATTGCAGGAATCGTCATTGGAGTTGTAGGAGGCACAGCAGTGGTAGCAACTGTATGCTTTTATTTGCGGCGTTGGAGGAGAAGTGGAGGAAAGTTCACGAAACTTCGTAAGGGAGGGAGAGCAGTAGATCCTGAGGAAGAATTTGTGTCGGGGGGATCAAACTTTAGTGTCCATGGACGGTACGGTCACGGGCAACAACCATCTGTATCTCTTGAGCCTCTCCTTCTACCTTCCTCTCCGCAGACATTGCAAGATATCCCGGCAGTCTCACCCCCGCAAATATCACTAGACTGGTCCTACCTCCCTCCCGTCCTACCCAACACAACAACAGACTACAGCCATCTCAGCCTCTATGACACTGACGACCCATTCGCCCGCATCCAGAGGGCAATACTCCCCACATCCGCTCCACATCACACGCCGGTGTCTTCGCGCAGGGTGTCGCATGAAGTACCGCTTGAACAGTACTCCAGACACACAGCCAATAATCTTGGGCCAAATGCCCCGCTTTTCATCAATCGTAGTCTGACCCGTCACTTGGGTCCGGACTTTTTCTCAGGTCGGGCAAGCACTTCCCCGTTTTCGTCGGCAGATCCTCCCCAATTCATATCTTCTCGAACTGGAAGTGATGCTGTTCATTTGCTCGGAGACGCACCTCCACCTCCACCCAAGCCGCGGATATCAGTTCTCAGTCCACTGGTTGAGCATGCCGCACCGAAAGACTCGCAAGAGGTATCTCAACCCCAGACCGCAGGCGGTGAAGCTGACGCTAACAGCCCCGAATCCATCTATTCACAAGAATCCGCACCACACTCCTCCCATCCTCCAGAACCCCAACTACCATCCCAATCATCAAGGAGGGGCAGATCATCCCAAAGATATTCAAGAACACTGAAAATATCAGAACTAAGCCCCGTCAGGGAAGGCTCAACATCAAAAAGTGACCCTCCCTCCCACAACACCTCAACAAGCTCAGAAATACAAAAAAAGCCATCCCGCACCTTCTCAGAACTCGAAAGATCATCTTCCCTCTCAGTCACACACTCTCACAACGCATCCCCAAGAGCCCCCGAATACGCTTCGTTACCCCTCCTTTCCTCCAATAACGCATTCGGGAAAAGCGGTTCCAGCGCATCGACATTATCTCCCTCGAGCAGCCGAGCAACGAGGTATCCTTCATTGACACCTTCTAGTTTGACACCGTCTTCGTCTGGCTCAAATCCTCATTCTGATTCAGCCACTGAGTGGCATCGTCCACCAGCGGGCCTTAATGCGCTTAAAGATATCGAGATATTAGATCTCCCAAATCCACATGCCCCAACTCTGGAGGTCCCTCGAGTGTCCGCGCTACTTTCCTGCCAATCGAAAACCAGGCAAGAAGCCCGAGAAAGCGCCACTCAGAGCTCGGCTGTGTGCACATTCGCCGTGTTCCATCCCAGAAATTGAGCGAAGACCGGTTGTACAAGGTGGTATTGCGAATATCGATGTAACACTATGATTATAACTGTACTGATGGTGGGTGGACGGATGGATGAATATATTATTATATTATGAAGGACCTCTAGTAAACTATTCATACATGTGTGCTTGCATGGATACAGTTGATGATTGCATGGATACACTTAGCGATTGGACAGATAACAACGGACTTTATGCGGGGTCGGTAGACTTGTAACAAATGTGTGGTATTCCAAAACGTCATCGAGAACACTCATACAGTTTCTATTACACGACAGTGAGTACAGCAAACAGATAATGCGCACTACTAACCTTCCTTTGCGTGTTATTGAAAAAATCCCTTATTTTTCCAGTCCTTCACCCACGCCCGCGCATGGCTTGGTCCAAGCCACTCAGACTCCCGTGTAGAGAGAAAACGCATCGTACCGCTCAGTGAACAAGCCCTGTCCGTCGCAAACTGCTGGCCGTTACCCGCCTCCGCATCACCAGAAAGAGTTTCAGCATTCTGGGACTGCAAGAACCCTCGGAGGAAAGGAAGGATTTTGAGCGCCGGCTACATAAGACGGCAAAATCAGTCCATAACCTTCATTCACCAATAAAGGTTCGACTTACGACCTCTTTAAAATCACGTTCTTTTGCGCCGTGGGCACGTCGTTCCAGTTTTTGCATCCACCCTGAATAGGGCTCCAGTGGCAGCGGATGTTTTGTTTGGCCAGAAGCTACAAGTGCATCTCTCACGCTCTCAAAGATGGTCCGCCATGAAACAGGCCTTGGATGGGTGACGTTGACAAGTGGGACATGCGTCTCAGACAAGGCAACGTCAAGAGCTGCTGCTGCAACGCGGTCCGCGGGTGTCCATGACACGACCTAAATTCAAGGTTTGTAAACCAAACTAGCGTCGCGCGAAAAAAGATTCACCCCTGGAAGGTCAAGAAGCGAACCGAGCGCCAAGCTTGACTTGACAAGGATGGGAACCCAATCAGTCGTCGCCCAAGCCCCAGTAGGCCCACCAGCTATCTGTCCTACTCGGAGAGATGTAGCCTGCAGATTAGATCGGGCGATGATCTAGGAAGTGCTGAGTCACTGGTTTTTACTCAGATAAGGTGAACCTACTTGTTCGGCAACGTGCTTCGATTCTCCGTACCCAGAACCTATTGCCATAGAAGGATCACTGAGAAGTTCCTCTGGGACGGGACCCTGACTTGGATCCCAACCCAATGCGGATGCGATAGACGAAACGAATATGAACCGCAAAGAAGCGGCATGCGGAGAAGCGAGCGCGAGATCGAGAAGCATCCGCGTGCTCCGGATATGAGGTTCAAACGAGGATAGGGCCAAATTGAAGTCGACGCGCCAGGCATTGTGGATGATCATGGTCACGGAATATTTGAGCTTGAGGAGTCATGTCAGCGACAAGCTGAGGAAGGGAAAGAGAACAAACCCGTTCGTAAGTAGGAGCTGTCAAACCCAATCTGTCCTGAGAGATGTCACCTTCAAGATAAAAAATCTTTCTTGATGAGGTTAGGAGTCGTGTATTTAACCCTCTTTCCTCGAATGCTTTGAGCTGACGCATACTGCTGTATGTTCCTGAAGCTGCTGAAAAGCGATTGAGAACATAGACTGTCGAGACCTCCGGTCGTCCGAGAAGATTGGCAAGTATATAGGATCCCAGTGTCCCCGTCGATCCAGTAAGGAGCACAACACGCCCGCCATCAAGCCTGGCTCGCTTTGCAGGTCTCTCCATCGAGTCAGGGTCAAGCTTCAGAAATCCGGCTGAGTATTTTTCGATCATAGCCCCGACTGCATGGACGTGCGAGTCTTGTACAGACTCCGAAGTCCCATCCGCGCATGCAACAAGGGCAGCAACCTTCCGTGCCAGTAAATGAATAGTGGGGTTCTCAAAGATGATGTTTTGGGTGATGAGGCAGGAAATGCTCTGAATTCCTAGTTCAGATGATCTCCTTAGGGCGCAGATGAGCCGATTCCTAAGGTACGTAGCACTCAAGCTGGGGAGCAATTCAGTGACAACGTCCACCAATTAAACAAAGCTCACACCTGTCAAAGCCCTGCGCGAATAAATCTACAGATGGTTTTATATCCGTCCTAACATTCGTGGCTTGTGATAATAGCCAGGAGGTTAACTCGTTCTCCGTCCATTGCAATGGTATGGTGCTGTCGCCAACTTCATGGCTAAGTCCGACGACGTCATAACTGATTATACAAGACGCTTCAGCAAGTGCCAGGCCAATTAATGATATGCGAACACCAACAGTGCATTAATGTCTCGCTCGTATACTTGGAGCGCTGCCTTTCTTTCGATAGTGCCCTTCATAGTCCGGGATACAGGCTTGTCGCGACGAGCGACAAGAATCATTTCCTTGAAGATACGACTGTAAGTCGGCACAGATGCATTGGCGTCTTCTACATATGGCCTAAAAATCTGTCAATTCAAGATCTTGACTCACAAAGAGAAATACGCCCACCATACTCGGTTTCGAAACTGGGCAACTTGTTCCTCATTATCCACATCAATGAAATGATCCACGGTAGGTTCGATCAAAACTCCAACTTGGTTTCGCTCACGTCCGAACATAACGGCACCATTTACGTACGGACAACAACTGATGATTGTCTCCATCTGCGATGGGACAGCCTTTTCCCCAGAGGATAGAACGATGACATCGTCCGCTCGACTAACGCTAAGGTTGTTTTAGGTCTGCAATGAAGTCAGCAAAAAAAGCGTACATTTTCCATAATTGCTTCTGGGTTGGGTGTCTGACAAAAAGGTCGTTAGTGGCATAGCCCTGCACATCGGGAAGGTTTTCAATGCTTGGCTGGAGTTTGTCTGATCGCTGTAAAGACGCTGATCTAACGCATAGTTTTGAATGTACCTCGATACATACCAATACTTGGCATTCATATAAATCAAGATCATGAGGAGCCCAGCGAATATTGACCGTATCGGAGAACTCGACCCACTGCCAATATGGGTTGCCATTGACAACTGAGTCCCGAGGAGGAAGAATGGAGACTGGACCACACTCTGTCGCACCGTAAAGCTGTGCAATCGGTATTCCAGCGGCGGTAAGAAAGTCTCCTTTCTTCTCTGAGAGAGGGCCACCTCCATATACCTGAGAAGTCACGTGGTCAAATGCGTGGGACTCATGATCAAAGGAACACTAAGGTATAACGTACAACGTATCCGACCTTTCGCAGCGTCTTTAGTGCTTCTTCCGAATCGGCCCACTGTTCGAGGTGATATGGAACGCAAAGAACAATATTGGTCCCGGTCTGGCTGATGCATTGAATTATATTGTCTGATGTCGGAATGGTAGGAAGAGTCCGCCGATCTCCCACGGACGTAGGGGCGTATAATGTTGCTGTAACACCGATAAGCATTGCATACAGCTGTGCGGCCACACCAAAGATGTGAAACGGGGGAAGGGCCATTACGCCAAGACGGACTGATGGATAGTTCCGGTATTGCCATAACAGAGCTGCACCACATTAGTTTTCTATCAAAGACGAAAACGAAAACAGCCGCACGGGCGTTCATCCAGCTAAGTTGGCCCCTGTGATTTTGAGCGATAGGTTTAGGGAAGCCGGTACTTCCGGATGAATGCATGTATAAGATTGTTTCGGTTATGCGTGCTATTGTTGAGCGCTTAGGGTATGGCACAAAGGGGTGGACAATAGATTCGTTGCCCAAATGAGGGTAAACTTCTGAAATGGGTGGTATCTCGATAATTGTCAGACTGGTGCCACTATTGCCCATAAGGCGCTGGACATCATCAAGGAGAGCGGCGTGGTTCGGAGTGATGGACGCTACGCGACGGCAACGTGTCCGGAGAAGTAAATCCACTATGACCTGCGGTGGGTTGCGAGGAGACATAGGAAACGGCTGCGCAAGACAAGATGAAACAGTGGTAAAGTAAAAAGCAGCATGGGTACTCACCACGATCCCTGCAATCATCAGGCCGGCTATTAAAGTTGTATACAGGAGGGTGTCTGTGTGAACAACTATTGCGATTACCTCGCCTTCAATTCCAGTGCGACTGGGTCGGAGTGCATGGGCTATTCGATGAGTAGCTCTGGCGAACTCGCGGTAGGAAATGGAAGTCAATGCGCCTGTTTGTGTGTCTGGAAAGATGTAAATTGGTAGAGATGCATTCCTACGCATGTGAAAGTCAATGATATCTGGAAAGAGGAGTGAGCCATCGAGAGGAGGACACTCTGGCTTGGCAGATATAGTGGCCATGACTCTGCCACAGACAGGAGGATGTTAGGGGGGTATTCGAAGTATATATAACTCGGGAGACTTATAAAAAAATAAGTTGGCCAGGGTATCTGATCGAATGATGGAATAGAGTGTGACTCTATCACAGTTCGACCATTTGCATGGTGTAGGCACGTAATGACCCACAACGTGTTAAGAGCAACTTGAATGTCTTCAAAATCCCGACTCGGACCGCACAATCAAGTCACCAATAGGACTAGCTGCACCACGACAAGAAAGCGTGCAGCCTGAACTGTTTATAGAAAGAAGTAACTCGTCCGTTTCGGATATGAAAATAAATAAATAAATACACTCCGCGTACTCACCATCGTGTCA